TTAAAATTTGTTAAATTCCGCTGTGCATGTTTACGTAAATTCCCAACACATTTTACTTAGCACTAGGCCGTCCCGGATTTCTACTTAAAGAGCTCTATCGAATTCCCACATAATTGACTTTTACTCTAGTAAAGATAAAGAGCAGCAGCAGCGGTCCTGCTATTGTTTGCTGGTGCAGCATTTCATTCGGCAATCACAAATCTACAAAGAGGGCAATACCCTTGGATCTTCACACATGGCACTATGCAATCCTCATGAAACATATGACTGCATGGAGTGAGCATCGCAAACTGTTTGGAGTCAAAATCATCCAAGCAAATGCCACACCTTTCACCATTCTTCACTGCGTTACTTGGATTAATCTTGACTTTTCTAAGCTTATTCACGGCCTTTTCTAGCTTTTCCTTGGTAAAGCTCAAATCTGGCACAGAGGATGGTGAGTGCAGTTGCTGGTAGTACCATAGAGGTGGAGAATCAGGCACTGGCTGTCTAAACGTCGGAGAGGTATTTCGTTCAGTATCATTTTCGATGAGTAAAAATCGCTAGGGAGAATAAGTTGGCGCTGGTGGCAAAGAGCTGCAAAAAGAAGTGGACTTTTGTAAACATTAACATGTCTTTACTCAATCATTCTCTTGTGCTTTTATCCTTAATTCTGGTCGATTTTCTTTTAATCAAAATCTATTTGGAATACGAAGTACAACTTAGGCGAAAAATTAACCGCTGTGAAAGGAAAACCAGTAGGATATTAAAGCATAATGGAATCATAAAACTCTCCATTTTTCATTATGAATGAACAACTATAAGATATAACGAATGATAAATCTGATATCCAAACTATGAGTACAAATATATCCTTTCACAGTACTATAAACTGAAATCTTTATTCTTTAAATTGAATAAACTATATTCCGTAATCTGAAATCTGATAAGCTATATAATACTGAAATATCACACAAAAAAGTATCCAAAATAACCTTACTCATGTATCGATTAATACCAATATACATGGCAAAGCTATTAAATTCTGAAATTCTGTAATTCTATAGTGCCTCTATAACAGTTTCTATTTCATGAAGTCTTCAAATGAAAACAAAATTTCTTGTTTCATGACAAACTAATATTAATTAGGACATTTCTGGGTTGCCTTTTTATTAATCAACCCAGAAAGGGCAATTATTCCTACTTTTTAAGTCCTAATCTTCGTATGCAGGGGATTCTTACCTGATTGAGCCAGAAGGTCGTCCTGTCGGTCTGTCCTCCAACATCCACTGACGTGCTCTATGAAGCTATATCCAGATCAAAACAATGAAGTGATGCATGTTTGATTTAGAGAACAATAAAAGAAGATAGATTACTTCAGCAACGCTAGAAGAGTTTAAAGCTATTATAATTTTTGTTTTACTAGCTTTTTCATGGACACAAGAATTTAAAGAGGTAGAGTAGTAACCAGAGTTCTCCTTGCTGGATGAGAACTCTGCACTGGATGAGAGTGTCTTAGATATGGTCTGCATTCGTTCCAGTCGTCCCATCCAGGTTCCCAAGAACTCTGCACTGGATGAGAGTCTCTTAGATATGGTCTCCATTCGTTCTCGTCGTCCCATCCATGTTGCCAATTCACCTGTGGGGTAAAATTACCATAGATGCCATTCATGGTGCTATCAGCTGATTAAGAAAACGGAACCCTGAAAGCTGAAATGATTGCTTTAAT